TTTCTTTTTTAAAAAATAATTTGTATTACAGATTTTAAGTCTTGAGATATGATAGAACCTACAAACTTGAAGGTCTCTACTGTTGATACTGTGACAATACTAGATATTGTCTAATAATGTAAGAGGTGGTTGTATAGGAGGGTTTTTTCTAAAATCTACCACCATTTCTACGGTTTTGAGTGTATTTAGTTCAAGATTATTCTGGTTGCATCACAAGGCTAGTTGTTCAGCTTCCGGTCTGTATGCAGAATCATCTGTATACGGACATTACAGAATGTCTGAAGGGTGGGGGCAGGTGGTTGAGTGGGACTTTGGCAACATTCGCTATATAAGATGCACAGACATTTCCACTTTTTTGGGAATGAGGAGTGTCTTATACACCAAAAAATATGTTAATATCAAGTAGGTGAGATAAAATACCAAAATAGGAAGGAGTTTCTAAAATAAAAGTGTAACATAAGCTATTCTAACAATATATATTATTAAATTGTGTACTCTAAATCTAAAATACTACAGTCTGTGAAGTAAAATGCACATTACGTGATGTGAATAATGTCTGCCTACAGACATTACAGAAGTTGGTATGCTACAAAACAAAACATTTAAACTTTCCCCCATCATCCATCCACCCCTATTTGAACCAACAGGGATTTTTGAAAATTAAAAAGGATTTAAAAAAGACTGAGATGGAGTGACATTATACATCGTAAGATAATAATAACAGGTAACAAATACTAAAACCTGAGTTTGTTTTGGGCAAGTTTTATCTTTATTAATATATATATATTTAAAACACTTATATGGTTCTATATACTTGTGTCAAAAGAAATTTGCATCTATGTTTAGTGAAAGACTAATATATGACTTTTTCAAAAGAAATTTACTCCTTTTCAGGTATTTATTTGTTCCACTCTTGAAAAAACTAGAAAGATAGCAAAGATCAGGAAAATACCTGAAATCTTAAATGCAATAATTATTATTAGAAGGACATACTATAATAAACAAATAAATGTCTGAGTTTTTAGATTTATGACAGTGATTATATTTCTAGGTTATTGTTCAGAAGAGGAGTAGTACAATCTAGAAGTCTAGCATTTAATAAAAGGTAGTTCAGTTTAGATGAAATTATCTATGCTTAACTGTGCTCCATTCTTATTTTAAATAGCTGTGACTAATCAGTAGGCATGAGATCCATGACTAACCCATTTCCTGGGTAGAGTTGCTAAGGGTTTAATATCTAATCTCCTGTCTCTTTGCATGTAAAAATCACTAGAAAGCATTGTATTTAATGGCTTAAGAACCATGATTAGAATAGTGACTATTAGATAAATTGTATGGGAAAGTAATTGGAAATGCATCCAAAGGAATACACATTATGGAGAATTGCAAGCAATTCATTTGCAGAAACATTAAATTATCTCTATAGCAAGAAAACAGCAATTAAAACAGCAAGCAGCAAAGGGGATGGTAATGGCACTCTGTAAAATTGGAGCTATTCTACAGAGGTAACAAAACAAAAATTAATCAGAAATGGGCAGCTTAACTAAGAAATTATGACATCTTTGGCTGACTGGAGCATAACTGTCAAGCTTGGGCTGTTTGGTGGTCAATAGTGACATTCCATGTGTCAGTGAACAGAGTATCTTGATACAGTAACCCTCAGTTCACACATTACTGAAGCTCCAACTGTCGAACATTTAAGTCCCTTGGTAGTACTGTAGCCTCCAATTTTTCCTAACTGGCTCATGTTTCATTTTTTGGCAATTTGCCCTTATGATATCCCTCAGGGGCTTTCAGACTTCCTTCTTTTCCATATTTAATCCTGTTATATTAATCTGAATGAGAGTGTATTATGCTGTTCAAAATTGTAATCTCTTGTTTTATGGGTTTTTTTAAAAAAAAGCATTTTCTCTGCTCCTAATTTAGGCCGGAAATTCATAACACAAATGATTTGCTTAATTCTAAAATGGAAGCTGATTTCTCTGAAACAACTTTGGCTTGTTGATTGCATTCATATTTAAGAAATAAAAGCCTCTGAAAACAAGAGGTAGGAATAGCTGACAGAAAGTACCTGAGCTTTCTTGGCCACTCCCAGTTCAGGTGGCCTGTGTCCCATCCCTTTTTGGAAATGGCACTGCTCTTTGCTGAAGACAACAAAGTATTACTTTTATCCATAATCTTTCCTTTTATAGTATCATCTTATAGATCCAGAACTTGATTTGTTTATTCCTTGCTTATTATTTTGGTTTATATGTCTGAGCTATCACACTTTACCCCTAACACTTGATAATCTTATAGCTGTGTAATGGAGTGGTACTTCCTTAACTGTTGCATGTCATTCAGTCACATTTTTGTAAGATGGGCAGACTTATTATTATGATATATTAATAAAAGTAACTTTGCTTGCTGGGGTGATCCACTTACAGGAAATGTACTTTCTCTACATTAAAAAAGCAAGGCATTCAATCCCAGAAATTGGAATTTCTGGTTACTTTACTTTATTTCTGTACACATAGAAGAACATTAGAAGCCAATAAAATGATTGGTGCGATGTATATTGGTGACACCAACACAGTTCCTACAAATGGAATCATATTAAAAAGGATGCTTTGAAATCTTTGAAATTTTAAGTGAAACATTCTTTTAAGGATTTACACAGGTTCACTGTGTGTATGTAAGTATGTATATTTAATTTTGAATTGTTGACTTACATTTGCCTTTTATCTGCAGTATAGAAAGATATGGCCCATTTCATCCTCTCTTCACCCCTGGGTCTCTATAAGGACTACGTTAAAATCATTGCTTATTTATTTATATTTATCCCACCTTTATAGATTAGTCCTCCACTTACAATCACAATTGGTACAGAAAAATTGGTTGTTAAGTGAAGAAGTAATTAAGTGAAGCATTACGTGGCCACATCCAATTTTACAATCTTTCTTTTACAACCTTTTAAAGTGAGACACCAACTGACCATGATTTACAACCTCCTGCCAGCTTTCCCATTGACTTTGCTTGTCAAAAGACAACTGTGAAGGTTGTATATGGTGATTACTTAACTCCTGGACACTGCAGATATCATAAACATGCCTAATACTTCTCCCTCCTCCTATTTTCCCCACAACAACAATCCTTTGAGGTGGGCTGGGCTAAGGCTGGCTCAAAGTCATCCAGCTGGCTTTCATGCCTAAGGCAGGAATGAATTCACAGTCTCTTGATTTCAAGCCTGGTGCCTTAACATAAACTAAACTGGCTCTAAGCTAATGCTTAGCTGCATTAGACCCGTGGGATACCTCTAAGGGCCACATAGCTTTGCAAAAGATATTTCCACTGAAATATATTAGCCAGTCAGAGAAATCATACCTTGAGAAATCATAGTTAGGTGCCTTGCTTTTCAGTGTCAAGACACGACATACAAGCAGCTCAACCCATCAACTGAAGTTAAGGAGCCTTTGCAAAATGGTACTTCTTCACATAAGCCTAATATGTGTATGCATATGCCTACACACATACTTTCTTTTCCAAACTATCCTAGCTATTGATATTATTGTGCACATCACACTCGGGAGGAGTGTTATAGAACCCTCTGTTATTTTTTTCTTTTTGAGTCATGCTCCTGACAGGCCCTATGGTAGGCTACCTAAGGGATCTTCGACAACTGAATTGTGAGTTGCCAATGCATTAGGCAGGAAATGCTATGTTTAGTTGGTTTTGTGCAATTGCAGAATGTCAGACACTTGTTGTATGGATAGATTGGCTCTTTTGTTCATTAATATGACCCTAGCTTGTACAGTAATGTATACAGGTGTTTTCTTTTGTGTCAGCCACTATCTAATGATAAGAAAAATTACATTCTGGTGCTTATATATCTTCATCCTCTGCCATGTTTGCTATAAAATATGCTTATGCAGAATTCTCACTGCTGTGTAAACAAAGATTCCGTACTTGATGCCAGGTTTGTGTTTCTGAGCTCATTGCGGTCAGAATGCTGTAATAAATGTACATTATTATAGCATCAGGAAATACATAGTTAATAAGCAGAGATTTACAAAGAGAAAGCAGAGCAGTAGATTATATTCTGGCTATTGTGAGCATACAGTGCCTTCTGAGAATTAGAATCTGTTTCATGTGAAATTCATCTGTTGGCTGCATCTGGCTTTCTTTTGCAATCGGTTTGTCCTCAGAAACACATTGTTGTTAATCTCCCTCATAGTTCAAATAGCTCTCTTAATAATATGAGCTAGGCTAACACTTAAGAAGTTCAGGGTATTATGTGCAAGATGTATTCCTTGTACCCTTAGTGAATTGTAAAACAGACTGAGGCTCCTGGGATAATTGTTAGTAGAGACTTAACTCCTCATTAAATAAAAGTAAGACTCCTGTTTAGCATTTTATTCAGGGAAGATTTTAAAGTAGTGCCAGCTTGGACCCATTTGTTTGTTTTAATAGCATTTTCTCTCTGGGATATTATCCTTGGCTTAATGTTTGTTCTCTGTACCTGGGCCACTTCTGCCATACCTTCCCCTGCATAGCAAGCACTGCAGCTGGTGTTGTTATCTCAGAGGTTATTCTGGCCTCAAACCAAACCAAGATTCTCTTTCTTCCATTTACTAAAAAGACTATTGTTTCGTTAAGAAGGGAGTGGGGTGCACAATCTTGGGGTGGTTATAGCTGCCTGGGAAGGGTTGGAGACCACTATGGATAAGACATGCATGTATATGCAAAACTCATCTGATGAGTTGGAAGCTTCTGAGGAGAATGGTGCTTTGTTGTTTGTGGGAAGTTTAATCCAATTTTAGTCATAACATTGTAGTTATTAGCTATGTATGTGCATTTCATTTTATGCGCATCCTTTATGTTGCAAATGTGCCCCTTAGTAGATATAGTTTATGATGAAGATATGTAAGTACTATTATTGTTGCTGACATGATCAATACAATGTTTTCTTTCTTTTCTTTCTTATAACATTACACTTTTGCTGTGTCTCCTTTGAATTCTAGTTAACTGCTTGTATTCATGGGTCAGCTGCATTGCTATATCCAATGTACTGGCAGCATATATACATCCCGGTACTCCCACCACATCTCCTGGATTATTGCTGGTAAGAGGCTAAATATGTATTATTCTTTACCTCTCTAATAATTAAGAAAGACAATATGTTGTTGCTGTTTAATTAAATAAATAGGATCATTTGAAGATTAAATCCAGTTGTAATAGTACAGTCTCAAACTGAAAACATGCCATATTTGGCACTGCTTTATAAAGATAAAAATATTTGAAACTGTATTTCTGCAGGATTAAAATATGAAACATGACTTATATGACTTATTTTTTACATCACTAAGTTTTAGAAGTTGATGAATTACTGACATGAGACAAAATCCAAAATTTCCTATTATCTTTCTTTTTATATATTTTCCAAATGGATACAGAGGTATCAATATGATTCAGAATGTTTCTCTGTTGAGGGAAGGTATTCAAAAGCTCCTGTACAGACCCACTGAGATCTATTAAATGTCATTGTTACTACTTATGTTTATTAATATTATTACACTTATTTGCCACCTGTTTCTCCATGGGGCTACTCTAGGTGACTTACAACAATAAAAAAATGAAAAAATAAAATAAAAGGAAAGTTTAAACAAAGCAAAAATAAATAATAGAACAATAAAATAAACAAAAAGGAAACTAAGAAAATACATTAATATGACTACCATAGTAAAAAAAAGGGGGGTGGGGATGAATGAGGAGCAGAGAGTGGGAGGGGATCTTCATGATCATAGTTTATCTAGATTTAATATAGGTAATATACTTGTCCCAGTCAAGAAAGCAATGATTTAATGGGCTTAAAAATAATTGAAATCAAAGGGTAGAGAGAGAATCTCAAAATAACATACGTGAAAGAAGGAGTATCCCCCTTCCAAGATGAAATAATTTTATTCATTGCTACAGTGTACTGGCAGCACATATACATCCTGGTGCAAAAGTATACATAGCAAAAGTTGAAGATGTCAGAAGAGTTGAAATGTTTTCTAATATTAGAACCAATATCCAATCATATAGCATTATTTCATGGGTATAATGAGGGGAAACCAGTGATGCTCAGGCCAGAGTAAATTTTATGTAAATATAGACTTTCAGGGCCAGAAAAAGAATGGCCAAAAGTCTGTTGACCTGAAAAGATGTGCGGCCTTGTGGAAAGGCCTAAAATGTAAACCTAGATTTATAGACAGCTTGATTTCTCTCGTTTATCCAGAGTAAAGCAACTTATCAGGTTGTCTCATGAATTTGAAGGTTCTGCTTAATTGCTGCCTGGAGAATTAAAATTTATTTTGAAACCAAAAGTACCAAATCATCTGATAGATTTTAGATTTGCTTGATTTTTAAACAAAAAAACCCCCAAACAATCCTATTAACTTCTTGATGTAGTTTCTTACCTATAACACTAATTTATGTTGAAGCATCTGTTTTTAAGAATTCTATTTACATTCTTACAGGATTACAGAATTCTACTTAAATCTATATAATGATTTCTTACGAAATTCTCCTTGTTTTTATTGTAGAACAAACATTTTTCACAATAAACCCATAATAATTTTCTAGTTCATACTTTATGTAAGAAACCAATTATTTTAAGAAAATGATGGACTAGATTAAAATATATATTTCATAAGTTGATAAGTGATTGCCAGAAGAAAAACATGCATGTATATTAATTGTCATTCTTTTTTCTCTTTTTAAGTGCTTGACACTTTCTTTAACGATATAAACTACTAATCAGAAACGGATTATGCCAAGCTTTCCCCAGTATTACTTTTCTATGAAATATGAAGAAAAAACTGATTCATGTCAAGCATTGTTTTTAAATAAAAACCTGCATTTTGATTTTAATGCAAGATAATATGTCACTTTACTTTGGACACATTTAAAATAGTATCCAGTGGTTTTAAAATAAATGCTATGTTACTAAATTAATTAATAGAAGAAAAGTAATTTGCACATTCAAAAGAGTTAATGGAGTAATATAAATAATAAAAATTTAATTAGAATTAAATGAAAAAAGTCTCACCAAATTAATATATAAACACAACTATTTCAAAGGTGTATAATGGCAGACAACATATATCCACAATCCACTACTGTAAATGGGATATAGATGTTAATTTTGGAACCCAGGCCAGAAAATGCAGATTTTCTGATAACATAATAGATTTGAAATATGGTTTATATTACTAAGAAGTACATCCTTAATGCAAAGCAGTTAATACAACTCATAGTGACAATCCTATTGATATGATCCTCAAATATGTTGATAATAGAGCAAAACCAGACTGTATGGTTTAATATTCAAATTTCTGAGAAGCACCCCCCACAGTAATATATTTGGTACACATCACTTAGTAAAGATTCCCCGAGATAGCCAATATATGTGAAGCAATTTTTATTGAAGTAGTATCAAACATATTTTAAGATTAATCTAATTATACAGTATTTAAACTGCCCTTAAATTGACTTATCAAGGCAGGACACTGAAGATGAATATTCCAAAGGTTGCATAAATAACTAATACCAATTTATTTTACTTCATATAAACTATGTATTAGTTTATGAACTGTATTTTATTGGAGTGTTTGCTTTGCAAATAGAAGAGTTCTAATAAGACTTTAGCTATGGAGAAGGAGAAAGATGTAATTTTAGGGTGCAGGGCTAATTTTTCTCTACTATTCCTTGCTCTACGACTTTGTGGATTTGGAAGAGTCTTCAACTACCTTCACGAGCCTCTTAGGAGGCTACAGTGAAAAAGAAGAATGTGCAGAAATCATATTTCTATTCTTGGATGGGAGAATTTCATGAATGCAGTTTTGCTCAGTATGTTTCAGAAAAGAGTTTTTGGCATCTTTTCTATTGTAAATTTGTATTCTTTCCAAGAACCTAAAAATCTCATTCTTCTTAACACTAATTTAATGTCAGTGTACATAAATACTACTCCTAACATTTGTAGTAAATTGTAAAGCAATATAATAATCTGCTGTCGTCGGCATGAGGGTGGGGGAGTTGGTTTTTTATTTTTGTTTTGTTTTTTTGTTTTCCCAAATGATGTTCTATTGTACTTTACTAATTTATTTGATTCTTTTTATTAGTTTTTTATTGTTTTTATTTTTATTTTTTGTTTTAAATATGGTTTTACATTGTGTAAGCCGCCTCGAGTCGCCGTGGGAGAATAGGTGACAATATCAAATGAATAAATAAATATATAAAATACAGAGTTATTTGTATATCTTTCATCTGTATTCTGTGTCATACGTTATATATTGTTACTTCAGTTTATATGTGTATGAAAAGGAGGCTGATTTATCTAGAGAAAAGTATCATAGCTAGGAACCTCCAGTCCAAATTCACAGCTGTAATCATAAGTCTAATGCCTACAACTTTTTATTATATTATTTTCAATTTTATACTGAAGTCACATTTGGAAATTACATGTGTAAAGTGCAAACATAGTTCTGTACTTATTGGCAAACTGAGACTGAATTGTTTTTTTATGGAAAAAAATCAATGCTTTTTATCGATTGGGGTTTTGGGATTTTGTTTGTTTGTTTGGGTGAACTCTGCATTTATAATTTCCAAAGCCCTGCGGGCCATAAAAATAAGGGGGTTGAAAAGTAAGTGGTTTATGGGCTGGTCATTCTGTTCAACCCCCTTGCTGAATAAAATCCCTAATTTTAACTTCATAGGTTCCAATTCACAAGGTAGGAAATATCATTGGATGGGGGTAAAATAGTATTGATCAATGTGTTAGGTACCATTTTGAATAATAGAATATGTAGCATAATATTAGTCTGGCGGTCATAACATTACATATAGGTTCTGTATATCTCTGTTGTATTTACTATAAAAATATGTATTAGAAAAGAATGAAAGAAAGTTTATTGCCATATTTGTGGGAAAGATATATAACAATTAATTAGTCTGGTTTTATCTGCTTTAACCAAGAACCCCCTGCTGGCTTGTGATACTGTATCATCGTGTCTCAAGTGAATCTGGTGTTAGGTCATCTGTGCCTATGATGCATGTCATGAATGAGGGACATAAATTAGTCCCAGTACACGTTCCCTATGTTGCAAATCATTCCCTTGTTGAGTCCTTCTTATGACCCTTGTATTTTTCTGGCCACATGCATCTGAGCAGAAAAGACTATGCCATGACAGATAATCAATACCATCAAAATGGGCACCTCTTTGGTAAAATTCAGGGCAAGCTTTAGGAGATACAATTAAAAAACAAACAGATAAACATTTTAAGAACATCCTGGGAATGCTTCCAACTTATTTCAGATCATTTTCTTTGACTATCCTATGTTATGCATAAATGCGAGCATGCAAAAAAAATATTTTCATGAGGGGCAAAGTTTTTAAGGGATATTGAATTTTTTTATCAGATACTATAACTAAAAGAAAAAAATATAAAGTTTAAGCATACATAGTTATTGTGGCTATTGGCTGAATTACCTGAGTATTTAGCACTGGCTGCATTTTTATCCCATTGGGAGATAGTGATTAAATAGAATCAAACTGAGAAATAGAACCAGATTTGATAAAACTTTGGCCAAAATGTTAGACACTGGCAAAAAGCTAAAAAAGAAAGTGATATAATGCTGTGTTTTTCTAAAAATCACAGCAAGTAAAAGAATACTATGTACTAAGTCTACAAATATACTGTTGTTATATTTTGTAAATCACAGTTGCATTTTAAGTCACTCTTACTCGTTTAATATACATCAAGACTTCATATTTTTCCCTGCTGTGTATTGATCAATTCTAATCCTTTTATAATCACTTTTTGATCAAGTCTAATCCTTTTATAATCCCTTTCCTTTCCTTTCCTTTCCTTTCCTTTCCTTTCCTTTCCTTTCC